AGGGGACTCCCCTGTGAAGGAGGCTAGCTCACCAACACAGGAGCCAGATATATGGAGAAACGTGACTCAAAGAAGTAGGAGGCCCAGGGTTCGCTCTGATTGTTTAGAAATACGCAATCGCTTTGAGGTCCTCTCCCCTAGCATGGAAGACGAAGAGCACACTCCATTTGAGGATCTCTCCCTCATTACAGTCGATCAGGTATATGAAGACGACCAGCAAAGTCAGTCCTCAGGGAATGTGCAGGCGACCTTGGAACTGACAGCTCACGGAAGAACCCCGACCAAACCTAAGAGGAGGCGTGTAGTGGTGATAGGGGATTCCCTACTGAGGGGAACAGAAGCAGTGATCTGTGGGCCTGACAAGATGTCTCGGGAAGTGTGCTGTCTCCCCGGGGCTAAGATCCAAGATGTAACTGAACGACTGCAAGGAATCATAAAACCCACTGACAAATACCCCTTCCTCTTGGTTCATGTGGGAACCAATGACACTGCAAGCAATAGCCTCCAGAAGATCAAAAGAGACTACGAGGCTCTCGGCAGGAAATTGAAGCAACTAAATGCACAAATTGTCATCTCATCTGTCCTCCCAGTTGAACGACGTGGCCCAGGGAGAGAGGGAAAAATAGTGGAAGTGAACAGCTGGCTTCGCAAATGGTGTAAACAGGAACGGTTTGGATTCTTAGATCACGGACTGCAGTTTCTTGAAGATGGACTTCTGGCAAGCGATGGGCTGCACCTCACAATGGTTGGGAGGAATGTTTTGCCAAAAATCTCAGAAACCTCATCAGGAGGGCTTTAAACTGACTAATGTGGGGGAGGGAGACAATGCTCCTGAAGGTAGGAGTCTATCAATTGATGAAGATGATCATCCAAATGTCATAGACCAAATGGAGCAAACAGCATGCAGACCTAGTGGTGGGAGGAAAAAATCCTTAAATAAGAGACACGGGGGAATGATTAATGGACTTCAATGTCTGTACACTAATGCGCAAAGCATGGGAAATAAACAAGATGAGCTTGAGCTCTTGGTACAGCAAACTAAATATGACATAATAGGCATCACTGAAACCTGGTGGGATAAGTCCCATGATTGGAATGTAATAATGGAGGGATACAATCTATTTAAGAGAAACAGACCAGACAAGAAAGGGGGAGGAGTGGCGTTATATGTCAGGGATGTGTATACCTGTGAAGAGATCCAAGATTTAGAACCTCAAAGCCAAAGTGAGAGCATTTGGGTCAAAATTAAGGGAGAGAAGAATAACAGAGACCTCATTGTGGGAGTTTACTATAGATCCCCAAGCCAAACGGAGGACATAGATGATGCCTTCCTGGAACAGATGGCCAAGCATGCAAAAGGAAGGGAGATAGTAGTAATGGGGGACTTCAATTACCCGGATATTTGTTGGATGTCAAACTCAGCCAAGAGCATAAGGTCAAACAGATTCCTCACTGGCCTTGCAGACAACTTCATTGTCCAGAAAGTGGGAGAAGCAACAAGAGGAACAGCCATTTTAGATCTCGTCCTAACCAATGTTGATGACCTGGTTAGTGGGGTAGAAGTGGAAGGATCATTAGGCACGAGTGATCATGCTCTTCTGAAGTTTACTATACAGCGGAAAGGAGCAGCCAAGCATACTAGGACTCAATTTCTTGACTTTAAGAAAGCCGACTTCATAAAACTTAGGGAAGTGCTGGGTGAAATCCCATGGACAGTAATACTAAAAGGAAAGGGAGTTCATGATGGCTGGGAGTTTGTTAAGAGGGAGATAGTAAAAGCACAACGTCAGGCAATGCCAATGAGACGGAAACATGGAAGGTGCCTAAAGAAGCCAGGGTGGCTATCTAAAGAACTTTTAACTGAGTTAAGATTAAAAAAGGATGTGTACAAAAAATGGAAAAGGGGGGAAACCACCAAAGAGGAATTCAAACAAATAGCCAGCACGTGTAGACACAAAGTCAGGAAAGCTAAAGCACAGAATGAACTCAGGCTTGCTAGAGAGGTTAAAAGCAACAAAAAAGGCTTTTATGGGTATGTCCGTAGCAAAAGGAAGAACAAAGAAACAGTGGGGTCACTCAGAGGAGAAGATGGTGAAATGCAAACAGGGGACACAGAAAGGGCTGAACTCCTCAATGCCTTCTTTGCCTCAGTCTTCTCCGATAAAGAAAACAATGCCCAACCTGAAGAATTTGGAGCAAATGATTCAGCAAAGGAAACACAGCCCAGAATAACTAAGGAGATAGTACAAGAATACTTGGCTAGTTTAGATGTATTCAAGTCTCCAGGGCCAGATGAACTGCATCCAAGAGTATTAAAAGAACTGGCAGATGTGATCTCAGAACCACTGGCAGTCATCTTTGAGAATTCCTGGAGAACAGGCGAAGTCCCGGCAGATTGGAGGAGGGCAAATGTTGTCCCTATTTTCAAAAAGGGGAAAAGAGAGGACCCAAATAATTACCGCCCAGTCAGTCTGACATCAATACCAGGGAAGATTCCGGAGCAGATCATTAAGCAAACAGTCTGTGAGCACCTAGAAAGGAATGCTGTGATCACCAATAGTCAGCATGGATTTCTGAAAAATAAGTCATGTCAGACTAACCTGATCTCGTTTTTTGACAGAATTACAAGCCTGGTAGATGAAGGGAACGCAGTGGATGTAGCCTACCTTGATTTCAGCAAGGCATTTGACAAGGTGCCCCATGATATTCTTGTAAAGAAGCTGGTAAAATGCGGTCTTGACTATGCTACCACTCAGTGGATTTGTAACTGGCTGACTGACAGAACCCAAAGGGTGCTCATCAATGGTTCCTCTTCATCCTGGAGAAGAGTGACTAGTGGGGTGCCACAGGGTTCTGTCTTGGGCCCGGTCTTATTCAACATCTTTATCAACGACTTGGATGATGGACTCAAGGGCATCCTGATCAAATTTGCAGATGACACCAAACTGGGAGGGGTGGCAAACACCCCAGAGGACAGGATCACACTACAAAACGACCTTGACAGTTTAGAGAACTGGGCAAAAACAAACAAGATGAATTTTAACAGGGAGAAATGTAAAGTATTGCACTTGGGCAAAAAAAATGAGAGGCACAAATACAAAATGGGGGACACCTGGCTTGAGAGCAGTACATGTGAAAAGGATCTAGGAGTCTTGGTTGACCACAAACTTGACATGAGCCAACAGTGTGATGCGGCAGCTAAAAAAGCCAATGCAATTCTAGGCTGCATCAATAGGAGTATAGCATCTAGATCAAGGGAAGTAATAGTGCCACTGTATTCTGCTCTGGTCAGACCTCACCTGGAGTACTGTGTCCAGTTCTGGGCACCACAATTCAAGAAGGACACTGACAAACTGGAACGTGTCCAGAGGAGGGCAACCAAAATGATCAAAGGCCTGGAAACGATGCCTTATGAGGAACGGCTAAGGGAGCTGGGCATGTTTAGCCTGGAGAAGAGGAGGTTAAGGGGTGATATGATAGCCATGTTCAAATATATAAAGGGATGTCACATAGAGGAGGGAGAAAGGTTGTTTTCTGCTGCTCCAGAGAAGCGGACACGGAGCAATGGATCCAAACTACAAGAAAGAAGATTCCACCTAAACATTAGGAAGAACTTCCTGACAGTAAGAGCTGTTCGACAGTGGAATTTGCTGCCAAGGAGTGTGGTGGAGTCTCCTTCTTTGGAGGTCTTTAAGCAGAGGCTTGACAACCATATGTCAGGAGTGCTCTGATGGTGTTTCCTGCTTGGCAGGGGGTTGGACTCGATGGCCCTTGTGGTCTCTTCCAACTCTATGATTCTATGATTCTATGATTCTATGACACAGGAGCCCCAACTTTGAACTTTTATCAAGCCTCCTCAGACTGTTTCCACTGAAATTGTTCTTCAAGGTTGCAGGGGTTTAGAGGATTGAGGTTGAATCCTGACAAGACAGAAGTACTGTTTTGCAGTGACAGGGGGTGGGTGGCTGTGGGGGACTCCCTGGTCCTGAATGGGGTAACTGTGCCCCTGAAGGACCAGGTGCGCAGCCTGGGGGTCATTTTGGACTCACAGCTGTCCATGGAGCCGCAGGTTAATTCTGTGTCCAGGGCAGCTGTCTACCAGCTCCATCTGGTATGCAGGGTGAGACCTTACCTGCCTGCAGACTGTCTCACCTGTGGTGAATGTTCTAGTTACCTCCTGCTTGGACAACTGCAATGCACTCTATGTGGGGCTACCTTTGAAGGTGACCTGGAAACTGCAACTAATCCAGAATGTGGCAGCTAGACTGGGAGTGGCCGCCCTTTGGCTCCCAGTACGTTTCTGAGCACAATTCAAAGTGTTGGTGCTGACCTTCAGAGCCCTAAATGGCTTCGGCCCAGCAGACCTGAAGGGGCATCTCCACCCCCATCATTCAGCCCACATACAGCGAGAAGTGAGGTTGCAGGGAACCAGGCAGAGGGCCTTCTCGGTAGTATGGCCTGCCCTGTGGAAAGCCCTCCCATCAGATATCAAGGGAATAAACAACTATCCGAGTATCAGAAGACATCTGAAGGCAGCCCTGTTTAGTTTAGTTTTTAATATTTGAAGTTTTATTCTGTTTTTAAGGTTCTGTTGAAAGCCACCCAGAGTAGCTGGGGAAACCCAGACAGGTGAGAAGGGTATAAATAATAAACTGTTGTTGTTGTTGTTGTTGTTGTTGTTGTTATATTTAACTCAATCAGAGGTCAGAATTGAGGTTTCCTGTGATGCCCTTCATTCTTAACCCAAGTTTGGATGAACATCTGTCAGGGATCCTTTTGCTGTGATTACTACATTAGACCCTGTCCAACTCTTCAATTGTATGAGTCTATATTCATTAAAGTTCCCCAATGTTCAACATTATCCCCATTCCATGAATAGAAAGGATCCAGAAGGGAGTGTCTCAATTCTAATGTCACACTATTGAGTAACACGTGATTTAATCTCAAAGATTTATTTAAACGTGCCATATAGAATTGAACAGACAGACTTGTTAATTATTTTAATTCTTTCTTATGTTGAGCTGATCTTTGCTATTCAGATCAGGTCTCAGTAAAATGACATAGCATTTTGGGGAAAAGATGCAGCTCAGTAATCCAAAACTGGAGGACAAAATGGAGAAGATCTCCACGGCCACCATGTACTTCCCCTTGGTACTCAGATATGTGGGAACAAAGGACAGCCATACCGTGCAAAAGATCAACATGCTGAAGGTGATGAACTTGGCTTCATTGAAACTGTCGGGCAACTTTCTAGCTAAGAAGGCCACCGTGAAGCTGACAATGGCCAGGAGACACAGGAAGCCCAACACACAGTAAAGCATGACAGTCGACCCTTCATTGCATTCAAGCACAATTTCTTTTGGCATTGAGTGTTTGTCAAAGTCTGGGAATGGGGGAGTGGTTGCCAGCCACACACTACAGATTGTGGCTTGAATCAGGGAGCAGGACAGGACTATGGAGATGGCTAATTGTTTCCCCACCCATTTCCTTATACTGGACCCTGGCTTCGTGGCCATGAAAGCTAGCACCACAATGGTGGTTTTGGCCAATAAGCAAGAAACTGCCACAGAGAAGATTATGCTAAAAAGTATTTGTCGAAGGAGGCAGGTCACAACCTCCGGTTGTCCAATGAACAGCAAAGCAGAAATGAAGGAGAGCAGGAGGGCGAGGAGGAGAGTGTAGGTGAGGCCCCTGTTGTTGGCTCTGACTATGGGTGTGTCCTTGTTCTTCATAAAGATTCCAAGCACAAGAGCTGTGATGCAAGAAAAGGAGAGAGCAACAGCGTCCAAGCTGATCCCCAGAGGCTCTTTGTGAGAAAGATAGCTGATGGTTTTTGGAAGGCATGTATCCTGACCAATGTTTGGATATTGATCTCCTGGACATTGAAAGCAATTATCCATATCTGGAATCAGAATACAAAGAACATAGCATGCATAAATGAGAATCTCAGCCCATGCACCGTGCATCAATTCATTTATTTCTTCCTTTGCAACAGTGTTAGTAGAAGAAAAATATCAAAGTTAATCTTGCAGTAGGAAAGGTATATATCCCTGTTCCCAGATACAGGGATATGTTCAGGCCATGTGTTTTAAAGGGATGATGAAATATTTTTAAAAATGCATTTTCAGAAGGGTTGAAAGTGTTTTAGATATTCATACACCTCAGACTTCATACTTTCTATATCACATTTATGTGCATATGCAGTTTTAAAAATATTTATATGTTTATATTCACATTTTGAAAACTGGAGTGGCAAATCTCCTTGAAGCATCATCCGAGGGGGTGATGATGTGCTATGTTGTCTTGTACAGAGAAAAGGGTGGTAATTAGATTCCGTTTGCTTTTAAAAACTGATGTGGATAAGCAAGGTCATAGCTGTTCAATTTGATGAGCTACGGATTGGATCAACTATCTATATGAAATTTCTTACCTTTCCAGTTTGAGATTTTCCCTTCTGGACATGGAAAGCAATCATAGCAGCAAAATGGCTTTCCTTCTTTCTTGGTCCTACTATAACCTGGATGGCAGTGGTCATTACACATGGAAAGGGGCTGTGACTGTGCATAAAATAAATAACAATGTGCTTATATTGAGATCCTTTATTATGGAAACTTTATCTCAGTCTTCTCTATCCATTTAAGAAAAGGCTTCACAGTGGGTTTGTGTAATAACATCAGTTCCAGAGGGCATGTCTGGGCCATTGAGAGATGTGACAGGAAATATCAGGGAATGGATTTGACCCAATGAATTAAAAGCCACCTTCACCCTCTGAAATAACCCCAAATTGGAATGAGATTTATACCAGCATAGGAACTCATCTAAATCTCTACCGTGAAAGAGGGGAACATTGAAAGGATAGAGGATTGCAAAAGTGCTCTTCAGCCACACCAGTGAGAGTCCAGGATGGCTTTAGATGGGTGGTTGAATCGTCATCAGATTTTCTCTACTACCAGCAAACTTTGACTAGAACAATGAAAAGGCCAAAGGACATTGCATAGCAATGAGGTTCCAGCATTATGCAAGGTGAATGTTTTGGTTCAAAAGCATGATTTCACTGGGGACAGTGAACTACAACCATTTGAGTATCTAGATAACTCACTTCTTGAATATTGAGGAAATTTATAAATGCACCCTGAAATATGCAAGGACTGGACCTGGTTAAATTGTTTGGGCCAGATGATGAGATCCTCATGAATGGTGAAGACGTTGTCCAGGGAGGTCACTGCATCTTTCTTATCTTGGAGAGTCGGAGGGTCTATCTTTCCAACTTTAACCCTGAAGAAGGTCTGGTTTGGGAGTGTGACCCAGTTTATAATGTCAAAGCCAGCAGCCAATTCCCCATTTTGATCAAAGGACACCATTTCCCCCACACTGTTGTTAAATGAAATACTTCTGAGAATACGGTGGAGCTAAATTATGAGGAAGAGAAATCGTAAGTGTGTAAAGGTGCAAAAGATGGAACTATGAAATATGGTGATAAAATATTTTACTTGGAGTGTTCAGATTGTGTTCCCTTAAAAGTCTTTATACAGGCCAATGGCATCAACAGTAACAATAAATCACCTAAAATTCCAGATGAGCTCCATTTTTACCCTACAATGCCTCTGGGGTGATACTATATGATAATAAATTATTCTTCTAAATAAGTTATTTCTGAGGAAATTGTGACTACCAGGCTGCTCATGGAAATAGACACAACTCTTGGAGAGATGGTCGAATTACATTTTAAAGCAAAGGGGTGGGAAACTGAAAGAACGCTCCTCTCTTGTTCTGGTAACTACTTCCCAAAAAATACACATAAATTCAATGTGTGTTTTAAAATAGTTCCATTACAAAGTTTTATCATCACTAGTTATAGTCAAACCACTGTTCAGCTTTTTATAAGTTGCAGAGGGCAGGGTTTTGTGTTTTTTTTAGAAGAAAGTCATTTCTTCAACTGCCATTTAGATGCCAATATTCTATCCTTAATAATAATGCAAATTTCTGAACCCTCTAAGCCAGGGGTAGTCAACCTTTTATACCTACTGCTTCTAATGTATCTTTCTTGTTGGTAAAATTTCCTTACCATCCACCACTGCTCGTTGGAAGGAGGATTAGGCTTGTGCCTTAGAACCCCCTACCGCCCACCTAGAATCCTGAAACGCCTACTAGTGGGCGGTAGAGACCAGGTTGACAACCCCTGATCTAAGCAATGCTGTTGCATGAAATAGGTGGTGGTGTCTTCCATCTGATCAGGCCATTATGTTCAGACCATCACCTGCCACTGTTGTGCCTTCAGAATCGTCCACCTTCCACAGCGTGATATTCCTGTGTATTTGAATTGTGATAAATAGCTGGCATGCAAACTATGTGCTATTGCATAGACTGCATTGTAGACGCTGTAACTATGAGCAGTCATGCCCATTTCAAACACAGAAACAGGAAGCAGCTCCAGCCTCTCATTCCCAGAACACCTTTTCCAGTCCATCTTGTGTGCCGCAGAACTGGGAAATGAACAGTCAAATGATTCTTCCCAGAACTCCCTGATGAAGCCATCTTCTTCTACTGAAGCAGGGTTTCTGTTCTGAAGAAATGTGTGGAAAAGCAGCACCTCCTTTGAATGAACTGAAAGGGACAAAGCACCATGGAGAAAATGTATGTCCCAATCTCTTTGGAAGGGGAATGATGTGAAATCCATCTGGGCTGTCATAATACAAATTTTAGCTATTGTCCTCCATGGCATATTCTCCATATCTGCAATTTGGGGCATGACTCTCAAAACCATCATGGTCTGAATTTCTCCATGCACAAGCACAACATGGGCAGTACTTGACATAATGACATTAAGTGTCTTTAAGCCTTCTCCTACCATGTCTCCAAAGCCACTGGAAGAAGTTAGTTTGGGGAATTTTTCTATGAAGTCGAAGCAGATGCCACCCTGGGAAAGCAGAGGAAGTATGTTCTCTATAAAGCTCTCTGTGTTGTCGTCATCCTGGGAAACAACTCCAATCCACGTCCATGAGAAATGCAGAAGTAAGTGGAGAATTCCCTTGTACTGAAAGGCTCCATTTGGGAACATCCGGTGGAAGAAGACAGCCTGAGTTTCATTATTCATGACTGGAGAAGAGCCATATATGAGCTAGTTTTGAGAAGAGAAACATTTCTCGCTTTGTGAGTATAGAGACATGACAAATTGTGCTTTCCCCCTCAAATTGTTTTACCCTTGAATACCAGAACCAATCCAGTACTAAACATCTTTAAAGAAAGATTGATATGGATGTAATGAATCAGATATATAATCCTAGATAATATATCTGACCTGTGGTCCGGCTCACCCCATTCCTCACCCACCACCACTCTGGTAACTACATGACTATATAAGCTAGGGAAAACTTTCACATTCAATATATTAGATGGGTAAAAAATCTCTTGAACTGAATTCATGCTATATTTAGGTAGCCTGGGAAAATTTAGCTAATGGTCCATCAAAGAAGGACAAATAGTAGGATATTACTTTGGGTCACTGAGCCATGAGACCTTGTCAATTTTTATGACTTTGGTACAAAAATGAGTAAGGTAGATAGATGATAGATAGATGATAGATAGATAGATAGATAGATAGATGATAGATAGATAGATAGATTAGATAGATAGATAGATAGATAGATAGATAGATAGATGATGATGATAGATAGATAGATAGATGATAGATAGATAGATAGATAGATATAGCTAGACAGCTAGACAGCTAGATAGCTAGATAGCTAGATAGCTAGATAGATGATAGATAGATGATAGATAGATAGATGATAGATAGATGATAGATAGATAGATAGATAGATAGATAGATAGATGATAGATAGATAGATGGCATTCAAATGACTTGTTCAACTTAGAGGTGCTTCACACACACATCTTACTTGTGGCATCTTGTACATGCTCAGGATAGTTGCCATGTGAAAACAGACATTAGAGTTTGGTCCCCCGATGACTGCTACTGGAGTATTCTCAACATCACACTTGTAGTTAGGGATGAACTTGGCCCGTCTAGAAAGAAGTTCTATGGAGGCTTGATAGGTCCAGCTGGCACTGAAATGACTGTTATAGATGTGGAATCCAAGAGTGACATTGCACAAGATTTGGGGGTTGGCATTGATCTCCTTCACAGCAAATGCCAAGGCCAGGATGTGCTGGTAGTTCTGAGTCAGGACCCTTTATCAAGTGTCATATGGTGAGAGTCATGTGTTACATTTTACACCATCGGCTTCAGTTCATCACATTCACAACATTTCAGTTCACTGTATATTTAATTTACATTTTGCACATGAATGGCTTTTAAGGCCAAGGTCCAAAGTATTTTAAACAATGACCTCCAACTTCAAACATCATCTCATTTACAAGCATACAGTCATTGTGTTGCAAACAGAAGCAGCAGCAGCAATAGAAATTTGCAGCACAACTATACAGGCCATTGGGAAGGAAGAGGACATTATATGATACTCTGACCTGTCTTTCCATGGCTGCATTAGTGACTACTCCTTAAGCCCTATCCAGGCATGCCACTTCATTGAACAGGAAAAGCTGCAAGGTTCTCAGCGAAGGCAGTGAGATTAAGATCTATTTTTTATTATTGATGTAAACCTCTAAAATGTATTATGTATAATTCAGTTTTTATGTCTATCTTCAGTATATTTTACTTTATTGCTATGGCTAGTTGCAGCTGCAAATAAAGATTCTTCTGATCTGATCATGTGAAATAGAACGGATCAAGCAAGCTAGACTCCCTGATGTTTTTCTCATTGCCTCTTGAAACTCTACTTCAAGCTTCAGAAACAGTTAATCCTGGACAAATATTTTCTTTTGTCAAGACCCCTCAGAGCATCACTCTTTCTAAACTCTTGGAAATCAGCAGCTCTCACAACATCTGTTATGGCTTTAATGTTGATGAACATACCCTGAAATATTTCATTGAAACTCAAGACATTACATATAGTATCCCTCTTTATATCAGTTCCAAGAAAAGTCCCAAACGTTTAGCATCAAAGTGGAGAGATAGTGATCATCTCTATGAAGTACAATTGAAAGCAATATGCTGTACAGACTACCATGTAATGAGAAAATGATTAATCTGTAGTTTGCTCATCCTTGCATTAAAAAGAGGGACAGAGATTTCAGATATCCTCAGTAATAATCCCCCAAACTAACTGACTGACCCTAAAGACAATCAATAAAGCAATATGCGCTTTCAACAGTTTGTTCCCAAATCCCATACAACAGAGCAGCATGACTGGGAATAGTATCACTAAAACACTATGATATGGCTTTAAAGCAACATACATGTGGTCATTGGAAAGTTCCAGAGCCGGATGTTGTTCAAAGGTTATGGTGCTTGAAGATATGTAGATCTGGGAAATAACGCCAGCAATGATGAGGTCTCCCGACTGATAATATTTGTGAATAATAGGAACAGGTTCATTGATAGAACATTGAGGGAGAGCAGCAAGCATGCATATCCCCTGGGACAGCAGTAGGAACACCACCACCCCAAATAATAACATCTTGCAGAGAGTTTAATGGTAGACACCAAGCCATCTGCTCTGTGATTCTTATTCAGCGGAATTTGAATGATCACTCACCCAGCTGATTCAAGGGCAAACAATACAGAATAAAGAATAGGTGGCCATTCAGAGCTATGTCTATAGGCCCAGCTCCGAGTGACTCTTAGATATTAATAACATCTCTTAGTCTTTGATTGTTATTTTGCATGGGACCAGTAGACCGCTCCAAGGATGGGGGGAAGAAGTACAAATAATGGTGATTAATTTGATAATTGCAGGTCTGTTAAGAACTTGATCGGATTCATTGTTTCTCTGCAATATTGCAAAAGAAAACATGTTTTTCACATCTCAGCTGAAATCTTCTCTGAACAATCCTCAGTGAAAGGAAGTTTTAACTTGTTATAGTTACAAATGTGTTCACAACTGAGGTCTTAAAATGAAAAACAGCAAAGGCATGTAACTGGTTTGAACTATATTTAATCACTGAGGTGGAGTCAACTTTTGCAGAAGTTCCAAATGGACCCTTATTTTGAAAACTTGAATGTTTTAGAATCCAAATGAAAAACCACATTTGGTCCTTCTTTGTGGTGTCACTGCATCTCGGGGGAGACAGTCAATAGACCTTCTTGTGCCACCATGCCCACTGATAAGATGTCTGGCACATGGGCTCTGTCTGGATGAAGTGGGCAAGGCCTGGAAACAGACCAGAGGGGGGAATCTTCCTCTATGGCCCACCCTGCAGATGTATTTCACTTTTAAAATTAATTACCTGCCCTTCACCACGAGGTTATGGCAAGCTGCAACAAATAGAAAATAAAATTTTAAAATAGATACAAAAGAGTAGAATTTCAACATCTCCAGTTTCTCCTCCTGTCTCCAGCTGATCCAGCCTTTCATGGATAACACATGCTTTGAACATGAACACCAAAATGCTTCCCTTAAAAAAACCCTGGAGATGTTAGGACTATATTTCATAGTAATCATGTTTGGTGCTCCTTGTTGTGGTCTTCACTGCAAAAGAGAGAGAACTCTGAAGATACTGCAAGTCATTAGGAGAAATTGAGAAGTCCAAGCTGATTTCATGGAAAGCTGTTGTGATCCAGACTTTTGCCGCTATTTCCTTCTCATACACACTGAGTATTGAGCAGGATACAGTGATTTCCATGACATTGGTTACATAGCAAAGAAACATCCTGACTTGTCTCCAGAGGAGGAAAGGTTCACTTGGGCTGATCGGGTTATAAAAATGATTCACATTACAGTGGTACCCCGCAAGACGAATGCCTCGCTAAACGAAAAACCCGCAAGACGAAAGGGTTTTCCGATTTTTAGAGGCTTCGCAAGACGAATTTCCCTATGGGCTTGCTTCGCAAGACGAAAGCCCATAGGGAAATCTCCTGGGACAGCGGGGAAGCGCAGCACACCTTCTCCTCTGTTCCCAGACCTGTCCTGAAGGCTTGTGGTGGGAGGTCCGGGAACAGAGGAGAAGGCGCGCAGCGCTTCTCCTCTGTTCCCGGGGCTTGCGGTGGGAGGAGGGTTTTTCCTCCCCACCGCCAACATTCAGAACAGCATTCTGAATGTTGGCGGTGGGGAGGAAAGCCCTCCTCCCACCGCAAGCCTTCAGGACAGGTCCGGGAACAGAGGGGAAGGCGCGCAGCGCTTCTCCTCTGTTCCCGGACCTGTTTTGAAGGCTTGCGGTGGGAGGAAGGTTTTCCTCCCCACCGCCAACATTCAGAAGGCTGTTCTGAAGGCTGGCGGTGGGAAGAAAAGCCCTTCTCCCCCGCCAGCCTTCAGAAGAGTTCCCGGAGGGCTGCCTAGGCTGCGGATAGCAGCATGCTGCCCCGCGCAAGGGGCGCTCTTAAGCAGAGCGCCCCTCACGCGGGGCAGACATTCGCAGCTTGGGGAGCCCTGCAGGACTTCCCCGCAGGGCTCTCCAAGCTGCAGATAGCAGCCTGCTACCCCTATCCGCAGCTTGCGGATAGCAGCCTGCTACCCCTACCCGCAGCTTGCAGAGCCCTGCGGGGAAGTCCTGCAGGGCTCCCCAAGCTGTGAATGTCTGCCCCGCGCAGGGGCACTCTGCTAAAGAGCGCCCCTCGTGCGGGGCAGCAGGCTGCTATCCGCAGCTTGGAGAGCCCTGCGGGGAACTCCTGCAGGGCTCCCCAAGCTGCAGGTGTCTGCCCCGCACAAGGGGCGCTCTGCTTAAGAGCGCCCCTCGTGCGGGGCACTCTGCTTAAGAGCGCCCCTCGTGCGGGGCAGCAGGCTGCTATCCGCAGCTTGGAGAGCCCTGCGGGGAAGTCCTGCAGGGCTCCCCAAGCTGCAGGTGTCTGCCCCGCACAAGGGGCGCTCTGCTTAAGAGCGCCCCTCGTGTGGGGCAGCAGGCTGCTATCCGCAGCTTGGAGAGCCCTGTGGGGAAGTCCTGCAGGGCACCCCAAGCTGCAGATGTCTGCCTCGCACCGGGCAGCAGGCTGCTATCCGCAGCCTAGGCAGCCCTCCGGGAACTCTTCTGAAGGCTGGCGGCGGGAGAAGGGCTTTTCTTCCCACCGCCAGCCTTCAGAAGGCTGTTCTGAAGGCTGGCGGTGGGGAGAAAAGTCCTTCTCCCCCCGCCAGCCTTCAGAAGAGGTCTGGGGACAGACTGTCCCTGGACCTGGTCTGAAGGCGGTCTCCATAGGAACGCATTAATTGATTTTCAATGCATTCCTATGGGAAACCGTGCTTCGCAAGACGAAAAACTCGCAAGAAGAAAAAACTTGCGGAACGAATTAATTTCGTCTTGCGAGGCACCACTGTACTTTCTTTCAATGTTTTGGATAAGGCAATGCAAATCCCTCTGCTGTGGCTCAGGCCTTAAGCAACTCAGGACTGCGACGCATGTCTCAAACTTCACTGTACACTGTGTCACTTGTACACTGACATCAGCAGAAGTCACGTAAATCTTTTTCCAAAGTACAAAACTTATACAAACTGGCAAATACTCAGCTTTTCTCCACACAAGCTATTAGAGCAACAATTATGGATTATTTTTTCTGGAAGTGCAATAAGTATTCAGTTGCTTCTGTTGATTAAAAAAAAATAAGGTTTTGATCCAGACAGTTTTAGTAGTTTAGCCTATTTCACTCGAAGATAAGTACTGTTATGAGTCTGGATCCAGCCCAGTATCTCACATATATTTTCTTTTGTCTAGATATTTAGAAGTCAATTAAACATAAATATTGTACATCACTGAGACTATTCTAGGTTTCATTTCTTTCAGTCTATTCTAAATATGAGTAAGGCTAGATCCAAATCGCAGTTCACATTGCATTTTATCTACAGTAAATAAATAATAAAGAATGCAACAGTAACATAGGTCTTAGTCCAATAAATTACAGCATAATTTAGCCCATGTGTATGTTTTCTTTATTAGATTCCTAGACTACCCTTCATCCGAAGATCACAGGGCAGTTTACAGTATAAAAACATAAAAATACATACCACAATAACAAAACAATACATTTCCCCTCAGTATAAAAGGCCACAGGAATGAGTTATTTCTCCCTGGCTTAATTCCTGTCACTTACACATTGCTAATTTAAAATGGACCAGGGCCAAATAATTTAGAATATTTCATGTTACAATACGGACGCAATGCAGCTGCAAACTGCTAGCTTGAAAACATCACATGATGGAATGTTGGAACTATTCCGTGGGAAACAGTGGGACAGTCAATTCACAGGGCAATGCACCGGAATTAGCTCAGAGTGAAATATGAGCTCTTCCTCTTGCTCTTGTACAGGAAGTACAGGAAGTCTGTGTCACTTGACTGCTGGAGTTTGAAGAGAGCAGTCATGTTTTCTGTAATGCTGCAAAGACAGAAATAAAAGCATGTAAATACGTTTCTGTCTATCTCCTTTTCCCTGCCAGGGGAGCAGGAGGGAGGGGGGGTGTTCTTCCCACGTTTGGGAAGAATCGCCTATTGAGACCTAGCCTGGATCTTGCTGGGAATGCAGCCAGGGAGGTCAACAGGAGACCAAGCCGGGTGCCTGGGAGAGTTGCCAGTTTCTCCCGATAAAGGCTTGATTTCCGACATTTCATTGTTTTGTTCTTCTTAGCTGTTCCTTGTTGTTCAGCTCAGGTCTCAACAGGATGATATAGAGCTTTGGAGAAAAGATACAAACCAGCAACCCAGCACTGGAGGCCAAGATGGAGAAAATCTCCACGGCAACCATATATTCCCCCCTTGTGCTGAGATAGGTTGGGACAAAGGTCAACCAAACACTGCAAAAGACCAACATACTGAAGGTGATAAACTTGGCCTCATTAAAACTATCAGGCAACTTACGGGCTAGGAAAGCAACACAGAAGCTGACAGTGGCAAGCAAACCCATGAAGCCCAAGACACAGTAAAACAAGGCGACTGAGCCCTCATTACATTCTAGTATAATTTCTTTAACAACTGAGTGCATGTTGAAATTTGGGAATGGGGTAGAGGTTGAGAGCCACACCGTGCAAATCAGAGTTTGAATCAGAGAGGAGCCAAGAACAATGGAAGCAGCCAGTCTCTTCCCCAACCATTTCCTCATTCGGGACCCAGGCATGGTGGCCATGAAAGCTAGAACTACAATGGTGGTTTTGGCCAGAACACAAGACACAGCTGCCGTGAAGATAATGCCAAAAGCAGTTTGTCGAAGAAGACATGTCAGCGTTTTTGGTTGGCCAATGAACAGCAAAGCACAAAGGAAGGCTAGAAGGAGGAACATGAGGAGAGTGTAGGTGAGATTCCGGTTGTTGGCTTTGACAATGGGAGTGCCCTGGTGCTTAACAAAGATGCCAAGCACTAAAGCTGTAATGAATGAAAAGGAAAGAGCCAATATTGCCAGAGTCATCCCCAAAGCTTCTTCGTAAGACGGGAAACTTATGACTTTTGGAATGCATGAATCCTGGGCATTATTTGGATACTGATCCTCTGGACA